GTGTGTATGAGTGTGTGTGTGTGTGTGTGTGTGTGTGTGTGCGTGTGTGTGTGCATGAGTGTGAGTGTGTGTGTGTGTGTGTGTGTGTGTGGTGTAGTGTCTAAATCATAACGACATTGTCCAAGACGTCTACCTGTCTAAAACAACCACTTTCCTCCTCGACAAAGAATAGCTGTCTTTGACAGTTTTGTCTGTACATGTATTACGTATATTCATTGGCTTCCTTTGAAGTATAGCATTTACATTACGCTACCCGAAAATTACAAAAGTTCTATCTGCTCAGTAACCTAGTTTTGAGAAATGTGACCTTCAAATTTTTGAGTTTCACAACGTGTCAAGCTTTTTCGAATGCAATTCTTTGAATATCTTGATAACGACTCCGATTACTTTTACAATTTTGGTAGAGCAGATAGAACGTTTGGTTTCTGACCTCAAGATCTTAATAACTCAAAACATCAAAAATTGCAAATAGAACTTGGGAATTCTAAGGTAGCGATTGGTTACGAAAAGACAAGCAGTTACATTCAAATAAATATTATTATTTTCAACTGTTTCGCCATCTGACTCTGTTCCCCGGTGAGCGACAAGAAACATAAACTAAATAACAATTGACACTTTACAAGGCGTCAAATTGGAAATACATATTGAACAGCTACCCAGGTGTCTGAAATACTGACCAAGAGGCTGTTACTCTCGCCACGGTTTTCTCTAAAGGTTGACGGCCCATGCGTAAATCAGCAGCAGCCCTCTCCCGCTGATTTTATGAAAATTAGTAGACTATACTGCTATGCAGAACGGAAAAATATTATAGCTTTTTGAATCGTGAAGTGAAGACTGCAAAATATACACCAGCACACTACCACCAATACCATGACAGCTGTCATCAACAGTGACGCAATTGACTCTACGCTCAAATTCAGATGTATAAGACGAAATTGTAACCTTCTACGGGTCTCATGGGTATCTTATGTCAGTAAAAACAAAATAAATAATGATAACTACAGACTACGGTGGTATGAAACTATGAACATTGTTCGCTCCGAGTCCTTACAATTGGTAGAAATTTCGTTTTAATTTGATTCAATCTTGACCGCCACAAATATCGTCGATTTAGGTCCAGTTGTTGAAAGCCATCTGTCTTCTACTCGTAGGTATAAAGTACCATGAACTGCTCTCTCTCTCTCTCTCTC